TCACACCGGGTCCATGCGCTAATTGTGCAATCAATGCATGGACCTGTGAACTGGCCCAAAAGGTCTGTATGGTTGCCGTGCACAGCTCCAGCTCCAGTTTTTGTCTGCTCCAGTCTTCATAAATTCCCCTCAAGGCATATACAGCTTTGTTTTCTTAGTTTTGGATAGAGTGGGAAATGTTAGAACAAATATCAGCTTTTTATTGCTCTGGAATTGGGGTGGTGGAGCGCTGGACTCAAAGCTACCGCTCTGGAACGCACCGCATTAGGTGTGAACGAGCCCTTATGGTCTAGTTTTTGATGCTGGATTAGTGCTTGCTGCTTAATTAGGAGTTTGGCGCGAGGCTTTATTACATTTTGGAAGAGAACATTTACCAGTGAAGTTGATACAAAATATTTCACGCCCTGTCACCTCACCTTTTGGCTCTCAGAGAAAAGCATCTCCCAGAGGATGGCCAAAATACACATTGAACTTAGTTTATTATTAAGAGCTCACTATGTGATCCCCTAGAGCAGTGATGGCGAACCTTGGCACTCCAGCTGTGCCAAAACTACAAATCCCAACATGCATCTGCCTCTGGGAGTCATGCCTGTGGCTGTCAGAGCCTTGCAATGCCTCATGGGACTTGTAGTTCCAAAACAGCTGGAGTGCCAAGGTTCGCCACCACTGCCCTAGAGCCTTGGTTCTCAACTGGTGGGTGGTGACCTAAAAGTGGGTGGTGGCCCCTTGTTCAGTGGGTCGCCGCGTGCCTTCCCCTCTTCTAGGCGAGAGGCTCCTCTGCCTCCGCCAAGAGTAGCACTGTCAGTTCTCGCGCCAAACAGCCATTCAAAATATGCTGCCCGGTGCCAAGTGCCAGCTTGAGGTGGGAGAGGATGGGGGTATGGCCACGAGGGAGCTCCATCCGTATGTGCATTGCTTACAGGTCCATCACGTGTTCTGTAGAGGTGCCTGGACCGGGGTGACGTCGCATTCTGGCTTTCGGCATCTCTACGGGGCATGCACAAACAATGCACGTATGGATGGAGCTCCGGCACAGCATCCCACACTGGACCCCAGGCTGAGGATCCACTCCAGTTCTCGTAAGGTAGGGAGAATGGGTGGAACTTAAATTTTTTTTTTTTAAAGTACACATTTTTCTGGAGTGCGTATGTGTGTGTGAGAATGTGTTTGTGGTTGTGTGTATCTATGTCAGTGTTTTTCAGGGCCCGTTCACACTAGTACAGTGCGTTAATCACGCAATCCCGTGTGATTAACCCGCTGTACATTGCAATTGCACCTACCGTGCATTCTGGTGTCTGAGGTGTGTTGCGTTGCGTTCCATTGCAGTGTGACTTAATGACCAAGAACAAATGTGGGTCCTGAGGTAACACAGGCTGAGAACCACTGCCCTAGAGCATCCAGACGGCTTGCCTTTTATTTCTACCTTGAGCTTCCTCAATCCCTTCAATATAGAGGTAACTGCTCACTTAAATGTATCAGTCAAATGAAACCTAATCCTGAAAACGTATCTACGCATTTCATACGTATTTGTTCCTTTTGTTTCTTGCTCTGTAATAAAAATGATTACGCATGTTCAAAGTTTCGACAAAAACATATTACACGGAACACCCTAAGGCACCTGTTCACTAATCATGACTTGGAAGTTCTTGTTAATATTGACTTCCCTATGAATCAAATATGAAAGGCTTTGCGTAGGAGGGACATTTTTACGCATTTCGATGATTATTTCCAGATGACTGCCACGGGCTGTCCTGAAGCTAATATTAATACCTCCAAACACATTAATGACCAACGGCACCCAAAAATGATATTCTGTATTCTTGTGTCTGCAGGGGGCTTTTGTGTTGAGCTCTCTTTACCAGAACTCCTTGGTTTACCAAACCGCTGTAGCAGCGGTAATTATGGTGCCGCAGTAGGTGCTCACTAGGGTTGAGGTCGGGGCTTCACGTAGGCCACTTGAGTTCCTTTCAAACCATTAACTTTGCGGATCTGGCTCTGTGCCCACAAGCAGGGCCGGTGCTAGACTATTTTGCACCCTAAGCAAGACCAGCACGCCGCCCCATTATCCTGCCAGCTAGCTTCCGCAGGCGACAGGTGAATGAAATTTAATTTGAAATAGCCAATAGCAGACTGGCTATTAAAACCCCACCCACTGAGCAGAGGAGCGTATCTGAGAGAGAAAGTTGTCTCTCAGTTCCACTCCTCTTCTTAGTGGGCGGGTGCAATAGCCAGCCTGCTATTGGCTTTTGCAATTTGAAATAGATGGGGGGTGCTGGGAGGGGGGCGTTAATGGTAGAGGCTACGCCCTAGGCAGCAGTGCGCCCTAGGCGGCTGCCTAGTCTGCCTAGTGGCAGCCTTTAGCTACAGAGGTGAGTAAGGGATTTTTTTTATGGCTTTTACTGTTTGTTCAGAATTTTCACTTTATTGTGCATAGCCTAGACACGGGTTTACTTTACATTAAACCAGTGGCGGAACAATCGCCATAGCGACCCAGGCGGCCGCTGTGGGGCCCGGGGCACAGGGGGGCCTGGCCAGGACATCCCTCTGATGCCGTGTGGGCTGCCTGGGTCGCTATGGCTTCTCAGGCTGCTGGCTGTCACGGGCGGTTATGAGGTTGAACGTGCCGAATCAAACATTAATGAAGCCTTTGATGAATTATACAGATTCGTTTAGTAGACATGAGCTGCTCCTCTGTTTGCCCTTTTTGTTTATTAAAGCCTGCCTTTAAAAAGCCCGATTATTAGCTAATTAAAGGGTGACACATGTTTTGTTTTGTTTTTTCCCCGTGGCGTACAGCTGGAGATCTACATCATTACAAATGTGGAGAGGATGTAAAGGGGAAGAAAAAGGCTTTTTCAATGGGTTTGTTTTGAAAATGTTTGTTAGAAAAAAAACAATAACAAAACCAAAAATAAATAAATAATGGATATGCAAAATGAGCGCAAGGTTACCCACGTCATGGATATTGTAATTAGTGGTCACCATAAACAGTGGTGTGAGACTGAAAAATGCCCTACAGGAGGCTTCTTGGGGCTGAACTTCAAGAATAATTGCATCTGATAATTCTTTAAATCGCTTTTACAGGTACATGAAACCTATCTTTGTTTTAGTTTCCTGTAATGCCCTGCACAGTAGCCCTCAGGATGGGTGGAGAGGGGTCAGCACTGTGAGCCAATCAGCAGCCAGTAGGATGGGGGGGGGGGCGGGGGTGCTTGCACGCG